TACTACACTAATATCACAAACCAAGACATATAAAGTATGCAGCCATTCTAGTGCTGATGGTCTTTTGAATCATTTACTCTTTGAGGCTATCAGAAAGAGTGTGGCTAAGATTGCTCTTGCGCATGGATTTTGATGCACAAACATATTGCCATTTCTGGTGGGTTTAAAATAGTAGTGTAATTTCTGGGCCATAAGGCAGATGCATATTCTGCTTTACTGGGAACTGCCAAGTAGTTTCCCAACGTGGTGAAGCAATTTACACTCTCAACAGCAGTGATTTAGCAGCTCCTCTTCCTCATCAACCCTTGGTATTATTGTTTCACTTAAGCTGTTTAGTCAATATACAGTGGTTTTAATTCCCTGATGACTAGGGAGGCTGAGCATTGTTTCATATGATTATGGACATCTGTATGTCTTGTTTTTGAAGGGCCTATTAAAGCTTTTATTTTTCCTATTGGGATATCTGCCTTTTAAAAAATTTTTGATGTATAGCAGTGCTTTTTAAAATTCTGTATAAAAGTATTTTGTCAGATAAATGTATTACAGATATCTTTTGCACTCAGAAGCTTGCTTTTTGCTTTTTAATGAGTCTTTTGGTAAAGGGGAATTCTAAATACTTCCAATCTATCAATGTTTTCTTTTGTGGTAAATATTTTTTGTGCACTATTTGTGTGAAAACTTTATTTTCTCCCAGATCATGAAGATCTTTTCCTAACTTATTTTCCAAAATATTATTATATTACCTTTTTTACACTAAAACTTATGATCCTTCTAAAGTAGATGTGGTATAGGAGTCAAGTTTTTATATATATATATAAGATTATATATATATTAGATATATATAAGATTTTATATATATATATATATAAGATATATGAAATTGGAAGATATCCAATTTCAGACACTGAGTATATACTTACACTTAGGATGCCGCCTTTCAGGAGTCCAACTCAAAGCACAAGCAAGTTACCACCCACCCACACCCATAACAGGCCATGGGTTCCAGTTTCTGACCCTGTTGTCCTGATGCTATCACATATGCCTTCTTCTGCTTTGCAGATTCACAGAATTCTCTTTCAGAAAAGGCAGCTCCAAATGGCAGATTTTAATCCTTGGCTTAAACTATATATTTTATCCATGTCTCCCACTATAATTATCAGAAATGTTGGTCTGAATTGCTTAGTTCTTCATTACCAGAAATACCAGTCCCGTATATTTTTCAAAAATTAATCTTGATGTTACTACTCACTATCTATGTGACCTTTGATAAGCAACTGAAGTTCTTTGAAATGCAAGTCCTTCATTGTAAAGTGAATGACAATATTTATTTCATAAAATTGTTAAAAATTAATGTGAAACATTATATATAAAACATTGGAAAAGACCATATAAGGCTGCTGGTGTACTTTCAATAGGTGGCAGCTGTTTTTGTTGTATTTGCAGTGATAACAATTATGAAGATGAGGATGACAGCAACATTTCTGAGCAACTATTGCTGTCACACTGCCATGATTTTATAATCTAAAAGGGATATAAGGTTAATCTGACAACATTTATTTTAAGTGAACCAACATAGCCTTTAAGTAATGATTTCTTCCAACTTTTAGATTTGTTTAATTCATACTTTTAATAATTAGTTTGGGTTTTACTTTACCCCAAATTGATGTCAGAATCAGTGACAAATTTTTATCAATACTAACTTTCCTCAGTTAAAAAAATAAACTGTATTATCTCTACCTCTTGTATTTATCTCATTTTATGATTCCTTGAACATTAGCTACAACACTGAAATGGTTTCAGTTGTAAGTACTCTTAGTGCCTAGGGATGTGATTAATGAGTTTAAGAAGACTGAAACTCATAGAACAGCAATTTGGTCTCTTGACAATCTGTGTTAGGGAAGATTGACAAGGGCAAGACTTATCAATCCTCCCTAAATTTTCCTTAGTAAAAACAGATTATATAATGTGATTGTACTTTCAGCAATGAAAATTATCAATGCATAGATGTTTTAATCTTGATGACATGTAGGCAGTGGGCAACCAAGCATCAGAATATTTTATTTGATATGTATATAAATCTCCTATTGACCAGGCTACAGAGGTCCCTTGAAAATATCAAGTAGTTCCCTAGTTACAGACTGATGATGCATTCTATACACAGGGAATAGGGTTGCTCAAAGTCTAAGTTAACTGAATGACATATTGGTCAGAAAAATATGTTTCGTGAGTTTAATAACTATGAAACAATTTCTTAGAGCTGGATTATTGTGGACTCTATTGCTGAAACTGATATTCTTATATTGCTATTTTGTGAACTAGGTCCTGTTAGAAGTAAGCTTATCAAGAACAGTGTAATTATAAAAAGTCTTTGTCAGCTTACCGGCAAACCTAACCAAAATATTCTTTCCAATGTCAAAGAAAATAGCACTACTAAGAATCAAATATTATGTAGGAATAAACAAGCAGTGGAAAGACAGAGGTTCTTGCTTCCTATTCCATGTTGTAAGATTTGGACAATCAACCTGTAACTGCTTATTAAGAACCTGTAATGTATAAAAAATTAGTATAAGACATAAACTCTATACTTCAGGACCTTATAAGCTACTGGGGGAAATAAATATGGCATAGATTGAAAAATAAATAATAATTAGTTGTTATAAAGTATGTGACATTGTTTCACAGAAAATAATAAAATTAATGTGGGCCAGAGATATTGCAGATGATTCAGTAGAAAGTCTTAAGGTAGTTTGGACAGATTTTGAGGATTTAGAAAAGAAATGCATCTAGATGCAGATGCAAATACCATAATAAAACTTTTGGAAAAATATAAACTCAAAAAGAGGAAGTGCTCTCATGAAGTGAATAATTCCCATTGCTACACAGCACTTGATTCTTTTCAAGTTGATATTAAGACTTCATGGTTGAATTGAAACTGGAACATGCAGTCTGGGATTGTCCTTTGAACAATATACATCCTATAACTCAGTCATGATGATTCAATAAAATAATTAAAATAACATGATGTATGTGCTTTTGTGGTTATGGAGTCAAGGGGAGAAAGATGATATAAATACTGACATTTTAGCCTTTGTTCAAATGGAAGAAAGGCTCATCTTGGATAATGTGGAAATTGGAGAACCACACCAGCCCATAGTTGTTATTTCTGATATTAGAAACAAGTACAAAAACAATGAAAAGTTTGGAAACAGATCCACATTTGATATCTGCTTGATTTCTAACAGAGGTAGCATTGCGGTGGAGTGAATAAAGAATTGCATTTGTACATTTTCACTGGGTGTACAGGGTCAACAAATAGTTATATAAAGATGTATCTTTATTCCTACTTTATAATGCACACAAAAATTAACTCCATATAAACTACTGGTCTAAGTGCAAATAAGAACACACGTTTACAAAAGAAAACATGGGAGAATATATTTATGAAAGGTGAAGAAGGCTCACACACTGCATGCACACAGGTGTGAAAGAGTCCACCTTAACAGGGGAGTGGGATGTGGTGAAAGGATGGGGGCGTTTGGAAAACTGGAAATGATGAAAATGAATTTGATTTTACTTAAACTTTTTGCAAAAGTGAGATAATTAAGGCAGTTCTTCACAAACAAAAGAAGTTCTGAATTTGTACAGATTTTTGGAGAAAAAATTAAAAGCATTTACAAACAAAAAGCAGTTAGAAATTAAGACAAAAAATTGATAAAAACTAACAAACATGTACTTCATAAACTAGTATTTCTTATCTAACTGTATATGTTGGTATGTGGATTCTACTTCTTTAACTCTGAATTTATTTCAAAAGAGATAGGCTTTTGATATTAATATACACTTAGGAATTAAAGATTATAAATTAAGATTCCAGTATCGCAGGTTCGAGTCCCAGTCAGGGTACATTACCTGGGTTGCAGGCCATGACCCCCAGCAACCGCACATTGATGTTTCTCTCTCTTTTTCTCTGTCCTTTCCCTCTCTAAAAAATAAATAAATAAATTTTTTTTAAAAGAGACCTTTCTCTCATCCTTAAGTACTAAAAAAGTTTTAAAAAATTAAAAAAAATTAAGATTCCTAATGACAGCTTCAATTAAAATTTATTTTTTTTACATTTAAATCAGGGGTAAAACAATATATGAAAAGTGCTGCTTAGGACAGGAGAGAGTCATGTTAAATTTATTTCATTTTGATTATTTGATAGGCAGATTCTCTATTTACTTGTGTTAACAAATATTCCGTATCTTTATCTTGACACAAAGAAAAATTGTTTATAATCAGACCTGAATAATACCAGTAAAACGTAAATGTAAAAAAATAACAATTTTAGATTAAAAAAACAGGAAAATACTTTGAAGAAATCAAGGTGGGAAATATTTGTTAACACTTTATAATTGTTAGTATGGTAAATTAGAATATTAAATATTTTAAAAATGTTCTACACATGAAAGAACTCCATTAAATAACAAATTATCAAGTTGCACATTGGGAATAAATAATTTTAAATAGGTGAACTGAATTGCTTAATATTCAGTATGTGAAATGATTATTCTTATTGGTAATTATGGAAAAACAAATGCAAGCCACAATGAAATAGAATTTTATTTACATCAGAATGATGGCAATATTAATTATATTGAAATTCATTCTTTGTAGAAAGTCATTTGTCAGAAACTTCTATGCAGTTACAGTTGGTTTCAGTTGAGAAGGAAGAAACTACTAGACTGGAATTGGTCAAACAAATTTAGGATTATCCCAGTTTACCACAAAGCTGTTTCTTGGGTGTAACTTTTAGGTGACTAACCCAAGACTAGGATTTTTTCCCCTAAATAGCCAAGTCAAGGAAGTTTGTCTTGACAAATTGGATGACTCCTACCTTGAAACTATAGAAATATGACATTCTTTAACACTGGTCAGACAAGTTACATCTCACTTGCTCTTCACATGTCACCCAGCCTATAAAAACCAACCAACCAATGCTGAATGTAGCACATAAACCTGTGAAACATTGACCACCTTAATAGCTACACAAGAAAATCCTTATTTTTATTATCATTGTCATCATCACCATCATCACCACCATTATCTCTGATGCCACCACAACCATCAGAATATGTACAGGTAAATGGGATTTTGTTTGGGAAATTAAGTCTATAAAATTTAAGTTGCTGGGGTATCTTCTAACTCTGTGCTAAATGGTTGCTTTCTATAATTCAGATTTTTATTTCTGGACACTGTCAAGAAATATGCTATTGTTTCTGAGGTTTAAAGGCCTTGCAAAGTCTCTAGCAAAGTTTCAGAAAGTTGGAAAAAAGGAATCAGATTTCAGCAAAACCTTGCTTACTTTTTTTAAAAACCACCCATAAGAACATTACTATTTTTGTTCTCTAGTAATATGATTGAAGTATTATTTTATAATATAAAAATGTATTATAGAAGTAATTTAAAACTCTAAAGGTCTTTATAGATTTTTAGAATAATGTATTTTACTTTATACATCCTGAATTAGCACCCGGCAAACTTTTGTGAGTCCTTAAAACTTCATAAACATTTAAATGAGACCTTTTCTATTGTACTCTGTTTTTACCGGGTTTTTCCAGGAGAAAGTTGGAAGAGGAGGGCATTCAGAGCACTTGATCATTAATTTCTCTGTTTCTAATTCAAAACTTTCTCCTTAGAGAGTTAAAGTCATTTATGACAAAAAAGGTTTATCTTTTTAAAATTTGGGAATTTTTTGCACTGAAATCTTGCATTAACACTCTTCACTATATAACAATTTAGGTGCATCCAATTCCAATGGTCTATAGCGGAAGGTTTAATAAATGGAAATTAGTTTGTTATGTTTTGTGGCTTAAGCTAATGCATTACCGGAATATGGTTTAAAAAATCTCATCTAGGAAATGCTACCTGGTATGGACTGTGAGATACATTATGGTAAGACTGATGTTTTAAAATTGTGAATAATGTAGTTACTATTATTTGTATAAATATTGTTATTGTAATTTGATTAAGGTGAGTGGTTGATTATGCCAGAATAGCCAATAAACCTTTACTTGAAGTAAATTCAATCCAAAAGTGAGGGAATTATAGTTCAGTTAAGTATGTGGAGTTGGTTAAATTCACTGAAGATTAATTTTTAACCTGTTTTCTTTGTTCAATGAGGGATTCACCCTAGAATGCAAATTTCTACATAAAAAAAAACCTATGGAAAAAAAACTGTGGCCAAACATTAATTTGGTAAATGAAACAGCAAACTGTTTTTTTGGTATATAGAACATCATTTTAATCGTTACAGCTATTATTAAAAAAATAGTCAATTCCTAAAGTCTATGCATCATATTTATTAGAGGAAGGGTTGAATAAATCATAAACTACTGTGGTCTTTTAGATATAAAAGAATCTCCTTAATTGTTTATGACAGGAAGAAATCCATAATGAGATGGGGAAAGCCATTTCAGCGCTATAGTTGACAATGTTTTCTTTAGAACATCTAAAAGGGATTTCATAGAAAAACATTTTATAAGCTGTGATGTAGTGATTATTTGTATAGAAACTATCTCAGTTACTTTAGAATTACTGTTTAGGCTACATAATGTATGAGTGCCTCAAAAAGACTAAACTACCAGTCTAAGTTACTATCGGTTAATCCAAAACAAATTTGAGACCTCACTATCACAGTGAACTTCTAGTCATTAAAAGAATATATTCACAGATATTAGTAAGATTAAAATATTGTTTTTAATTACTCCAACTGCATATATATTTTGAGGTGTGATTCAATTTTGTAAGAGAAACGCTGTGCCAGAATAGCTTTTTTCTTAGTTTAAGAGTAAACAATAGAATTTCAGTATGAAAACACACATGAAATAGGGAGTTTCTTTGAAGAGATTTTGGCTCTGGAAAACACAAATTAACAAGTCATCAAATACAATATAAGGAAGAACATATAAGATATAAGAATAGAGAACACCACAGAGAGGAAATAAGACTGGTGGAGTTGCATGGTTGTGGCCTAAGCATTGTGGCCTAAGATAATGTTTAAAAAATTGTAAAAAACAAAAACAAAAACAAATCTTTACCTAAAAATTAACTGGTCCTGCAGGCATTAGAACAAAAAGAAAGATGCTCATATTCATAGAAAATTTTTAATCTGTCATCTATATCCACTGAAAACAAACTGTTCTGTTTTGTACATTTTGTTTAGGGTGATGGAGAATACAAAGAGATTGTGGAAATAGCTGAGGTTGTTTTGAACTTGAAATAAGAAATATTTTTAACGTTACAGCTCTTCAAATGAGTAATTTCATGACATCATGTCTTTCAAAATATAAAGAATAATGTCCTAAAAAAAAGAATAATGTCCTTGTTAGATTAAGAGTGACCATAAGACCTAACTGTAACCCTAGATTACTCTATGATGTCACTTTATTTTCTGATTGTTTTTCATCTAATTGATTAGTGTTGATGATGAAACTCTACTATCTGTTAGTGTATATTATACAAGTAATCCATGGTTATTGTAGAAACAGAAAATACAGTTAAAGAAAAAGTGAACAAAAAGAAAAAAATCTATCCATGATCTCATAAATAGGATAACTGCAGTGGACACCATGATGTTTCCTTCCACATTTAATTGAAACTTCTAAATGACTTGTTGTATGTTTGTTTATAAATCTATATATGTCCTCATACATGATGTAACTATAGTTTAGAAAAATACAATCAGACCACACTTAATGTTATTAATCTGCTTTAGATAAATAAAAAGAGAAAATCAATCTCCTGTAACATGAAGACAAAAACTATGTTTATTTTGCTCCCAGCCGTACCCCCAGCAGCTAACATAGTACTTAAATATGATCAGTTAAGAGAATGAGCATTAGGGTCTATCCATTTTGAGGTGATTGAGGCTTCTAAGTTTTCAGCTAATATAAAGGCCTAATGCATAATTTATACATCATGTTGTATAAGTTGGAAGAAAAACAAATAGATTTAGAATGTCTATCATCGGATTTCCTGCTTTCATAGATACGGCATATCAACCCAGAGAAGAGCTTGGTCACCATGTATGACAGTTCTTATTTTTCTTGGAGTGACGGCAATCTTGGGAGTAACTATTGGTCTCCTAATTCATTTTCTGGCAGTTGGTCAGTATTAATGATTTTCAATTTTTATTCTTACTATTAAATCTCCTTATACTTAGAAACTGGCAGGAAACAACATAAATATTAATTCATTTGTTAAAACTTCTCATTTATTTAGTATTTTATTTTAACATAATACTTTTGTTATTTTTTGGAATTAGAGGCCTCCTTGATGCACTCTATAAATTGTATCACCAACTATGGGAATATGACAAGATTGAAATAGTTAATACTTTAATGCTAATATTCATGGTCAGTAAAGGAGCTTATGTAGTAGGCTTATAGATGAGTTGCTATATCTCTTAGTAAATGTACCTCAAACTGTTGAGATCTGTACTCTTCCTGGCTCAATCTGGTATCGGCAGATTAATCTGTTAACATGAAAATACACAAGTTTGGCATACTGAATGTTAACAATGTTAAATACTCCAGTTATTTACTCTTCTGTTTGGTGATAAACTACAGACTAACATTATAAAACGGTAAGGAAAAGAGTGTCTTGGAGTTTATTTATTGCAATTTAGTCTTTTGTTATTAGTAAAAAAAATCCCAGAGGGCTCAAATTATATACCAAGGTGTCACAGTCAATTTTTGGCATGGCTTGAATTAGTTTCTCTAACTTCATGTACTTTACATTTTCAGAATGACTTTAGGTAACTTCTCAGACAGAATCTGGCATTCGCTTTTCACATGTACTGGTTGCCATAAAGAAAAATACAGGAAACTATAAGAATAGAGGAAATTAATTTTATTTTAGGTTAAATAATATTTCTGATTCCTAGGGGAATAAATTATTACAACTCAGGAGACCATATTTTTCAAAAAGTCTATTATTAAAACTTCTTAGAAATTATGTGGTGTTTTTAAGGTAGCTTAAAAGCACAATTGTTCTCAAAATATGTGAATGGCTAATATATCCTTAACCAAAATAGGATACCATTTCCCATTAGTTTTTTTCTATTTTTAAAAGTGCATATATGATAAGTAAGAACTATTTGTAGGTTTGTCATGTTTTAAATTATGGTGGCCTAGTATATCAGGTGAACCAATTCACATTTGGAGACAGGAAGGATTGGGGAATGTGAGACCTGTGGCATATGCCAAGCACCAGCCACCACATGCCATAAGGAAGTGCAAAGGCAGCATGAAGTCCTAAGGGAATGACTTCAAGGAAAGGAAAGCAGGAAAATAGGCAGTGGAGCATAAGAAAGGGTGCAAATGGGTATTGATTATCCAGAAAGGAAAGGGGGATATTTATAATGTTTTCTGTATCAGAAGTGCTTAGAAAGATTAATTGGGATCGCTAGTCTAAGAATTCAGTTTACACATGAAAAATAGATTTCATCTCAATGCATACTCAGGCAAATTGCTATTAGCTGCCTGTATTGATGCTTTGAGGAGGATGTTGAGGGACAGTGATGTCTATTATTTTATGAAGAAAGAAGGGGGATGCCCCTGTGAATGTTGGGTAGTCATTATTTCTAGACTAAGTAGATATTAATTCCCCTCCATTTTCTTCCTCTTCCTTTCTCCATCCCTCTGGCTATTTCTAATATTGAGTTGAATGTTAATTTTGAGATAAAGATATGGAGGGATTTGAGACCAATTTCTGTTTTAAAATTCTTTGAGTATTTCTTTATTTCACAGGGAAGATTTACCATTACCAAGGTTATTTTAATATATCTGGAGTCACATACAATTATAGTTGTAAAAATGCAGCTTCAGAAGTTAGCACAAATCTGAGCAAAGATATTGAGACTAAGGTAAGTCAGCAATTTATTTTATAATTTTATTATAAATTCGATTGAAATAGACATAGTGGCTGATCTATATTTTCTCCTGACAGATGTCTGATGAATTTCAAAATTCTAGCCTATACAGAGAATATATCAACTCTCAGGTAATCAGACTTCTGTAAGTACAAATTTATTTAGGGTATTACAGAAAGGGAGGTGGGTGATATGTCGCATTAGCCCTGGTTTTATGTAATATTAACATGAAGAGAGAAGGGAGAGAGAGAGGGAGAGAGAGAGAGAAATAAGAAGGAAGAAAAAGGGAAGAAAGCAAAGAAAGAAGGAAGGAACGAGGGAAGGAAGGAAGGAAGGAAGAAAGGAAGGAAGGAAGGAAGGAAGGAAGGAAGGAAGGAAGGAAGGAAGGAAGGAAGGAAGGAAGGAAGGAAGGAAGTTCATTCCCCATAAATTAAAGTAACACAATATTTAACAGATTTCTGTTCATGGCAGGAACTGTTCCATACAAACTGTAATCTTATACCTGAACAGGAATTGCAAGATTATTTGTTTCTGTCAAGTCTAACTTCTATGATGAAAAATAATTGTAACCCTATGGAAAACAAGGACTCTGGCCTGATATTTTGCTACCTATATACTAGTCATCTCTTCCATCCATATCCAACTGACATTCCTATCCCAAAATAATCTACTTTTGGTCTCTTTAATATTACCATTACTGTAATAATTGTGGAGCGAATTGCATCATTCAAGGTAGCAATTGTCTAAATATGTCTTTGCAGTGTGCTTGAGGGTGGAGGTGGGGTGTAGGGAAGAGGGTGTCATGGAGCACAGGGAATGTGTAATAAAGAGAGCACTTGTATTTTGGCATTGCCGATATCTTTTCCAAAAATTCTGAACTTCCAAAACAAAACCAACAAACAAAAAATCCAGGTGGCCAAATGCTAACCAATCAACTTATCTATAGAAAATAAGAATCTTCAAAGGCTCTTCCATTGCCCATAATTATTTGAAAATGCAGTTCTGGGTTTTTTTAAAAAAGTGTGATTAATATGACTTTTGGTTTGAAAGTCTTCCAAAATGAATTGATTTTTTTCTGATTAATACAAAGAATGTATTGAATGTATAAATAATGGAGATTCTCTTCATGCTTTAGAGTTATGTTTCTGAGATTTCTCAGAGCATAGATCTAGTGGGGTAGACATGTATAAGAAACTATAAAAAGGAGCTTAGTGCTAGATCTTGAATAGATTTTAGAAGTTATTTTTTGAATGCTTCCCAGTCCTACATTTAAGTCCTCACTTATCTCTTAATCTGAAATTAAGTTATTAAAAAATACCTGTATGAGAACATGGTTTTACTATGTTATAATAGAATATCATATTAATCATTTATTTGCCAGTACTCAGTTTCTCCCATGTGTTTAAAGTATAGGGTAGGGCAAAAAGGCAGTTTACAGTTGTGAGTATGCAAAACAATTTATTCTATTATTATTTATTAATTATTGTATTATTTTCCACACAAACAACTATAAATCTACTTTTGCCCCATCCTGTATTCTGATTTCTAGTTTGTGGTTCACATCTTTCTCCATGCACAATACCTCTGAACCAGTTAGAAAATTTTGGGGAACCCTTGCATTTTAAACATACTGGAACAATAACTATGCATTGTTCTTTAACGTATGTAAAGGAAGTATGATAATTAAAATGTGGGAAATTCAAAGTATTCATAAAACATGTAATAGATCAAAGAAGCAACACACTAGAATATTTTTGTTTTTTCTAGCCCTCATTCCAATGGTTCAAGTGTGCAGTTGCTGCTGATATTCAAGTTTCCTCCAGGAAAGAGGGAGATCATGAAGACTGAAATCAAAGCTCTCTTACTTCAGATGTTGAAAGACAACACAGTATCCTGGAATGCAGTTCCAGCTTCCATTAAACTTATGGGTATTTCATTTGTTTTCATTATTCTATTACTTGAATTTATAGACTATTTTTTAAAACAAGAGTACTAGGAATTTTTTTTAGGAAAAAATGTGCTTCTCAATATCTGTCACCTTTACAATGAACTGGTAGTGGAAGGGGAAGTGTCACAGAATTTTTTTCTGAAGAGTGATGGAAATGAGGGTTAAACTGTGAGCATGCAAGGGTCTGTTGTTAATGTATGGAAAAGACAGTGAAGGGTCCTAACTGAAGCATTGTTTCTTCCTACACTCTATTCTCATCAGGATCTCATTATAGGACACAGATTTAGGGTTTTCTTGGTCATTCAGTGTGAAGTCTGTAGTGGTAAAAATGAAGTTGAGAATAGGAAGTTTTCACTGCTTCCCGAGGAAGAATGGGAATAATAGTATTAAAGAAAGAAAATTATGTGGACAAGTACCCTAGAAAACAAAGGAAGAAAATGATAGGATTTGCCACAGTACAGAAAGTCAAGTTTTTATAGATCTTCAAGGTTCCTGCAAAGGTCTTGAAACTCTCCCTTGTGTTAAAGGGTGTGTTAGGTGATAAGCATGTGGTTACAGAACCCAGTTTTGTGGTTCTTCCAGATTGACAGTTGATCCCAGAGTCCTTGAAGGCCATGAAGGCTGAGAGCTGCCGGTTAAAGTTCCTTTGACTCAGAATGCAGATCCCGCCATGAAGGGTCCACTGATGAGAACTGAGTTTAAGGCAGAACTTCTCAAAGGGGCAGTGCAGTCCTCTGGGGGTAGCTTTTGGGAAAGACAGTTGCACTAGTTACTGCCCATGTCCCAGGGATTCAGAGTCAGCACTTTCCAGTGTGTCTTCCTGTAGTTTCACATTCTTCTCTTTCTCTCTCATGTCTCTTCCCATATAAACGTGACTTGAATTCAAGTTAAATTTTCCAAATTTCAGAATTCAGTCTTAATAGTAAGATGATCCCAAAGAACAGGACAGATCCAATAAAGTACATTTTTAGCTGGAATTTTTTCTTTACAATATAAAAAATTCTGGGTATTTCAAAGTAATAAAAATTATCATAGAGAAAGAATTTTAAAGATAATACCCAGTCCTTTTATTAATAAGACTATCAGCTTTTTATCTCACTGAATATTTTACCTATACTATTATAAAATTGAGAACTTTTTTTTAGTTCCTTTTCCCTTTTCATATACCTGCTAGAGAAGTAGAAAGATGCTCAAAATATAACAAGTAAAAGTGAGAAGGAATAATAATACATGAAATGGTCTGAATAGTTAAACGCTGACTGTAATTGGACTAGAAAACTTAGCCTTTATGTCCTTGGATTGAAGATAATAGCTTGGTGATATTTTATCAATTTTATGTCTTTTAAATTTCAGAAATCAGCAAGACTAATGCTGAAATGCTTACCAACAACTGTAAGTTTAGAAACTTTATTGTTTCTTTACTGTTACTTAACACATCCACAAGTATTTCTCTATTGTTTTCCTAAAAAGGATCAGGAAAATACATCTTATGGAAATGCAAGACTTCCATAATGGAAATCTTTCAAAATTACTGGATATACAAGATATATATATGGAATTTCTTTTTGAAAAACACTGGCATATCAATTTTAACATTTGTAATAAGCTGTCCCCCAAAATACAAAAAGAACTTATCCAAAGAATGAAATTATCAGTTAGGAATATCATTCTGAATAAGTTAAAATCAGAAAGACTGAAGGAAAACAAAAGGACAATTTAAGATAATAAGAAAAAAAACTAGGCTACGTCAAACGTATTTATTATTGATGAAAAACAGTTCTGTACCTTTTAAATAAATTCTCTTTAGAGCATCATGTTGCCCCCAAGAAATAACCCTGCATTCATGTGCTCAATGGATATTTCTAGAATATCTATTGTCCGCAGGGGGCCTTAGAGACAACATTGCACATGCTATGCAAGATGCAGACTTTAATGAAGCAAAGTCTCCACTTTCAAAGATTTTGCAATTCACTTGGGGAGATGAGAATTATAACAAATAAGTACAATAAAAGTCAGTGATTGACAGACGTTTGAGACTGGAAACGAGGATAAGTAAAAGTCGCCTAAACTGAGATGGAGTGGGGTGCTGTGATAACAGTCCATTGCAGGAAAGAAACCGCATCCCTTAAGAGATGCTGGACAATCACTATAGGGGTTCAAATGATGTTTTAAGATATATATTTTATAAAGCATAATCAAAGATACCTACTCTTGTATAAATAAATCTTTTCTTCAGGTTGTGGGAGACAACTGGTCAATAGTGTTGCATCAGGCAACCGAATTGTGAACGGGAAAAATGCCCATGTGGGGGCATGGCCTTGGCAGGCCAGTATGCAGTGGAAGGGCCAACACCATTGTGGAGCATCTCTGATCAGCAGCAGGTGGCTATTATCTGCAGCTCACTGCTTTGTTAAGTAAGTGTGAAAGTCTGTCTAAGTGCAGGGTTCTGGGTGCTAGCCTACTTTTGGTAGTCTGTGGGGGTTAACCTAATGTATGAACATTCATCAAGGCCATATATACTTATGATTACCTGAATAAACAAAGAGAAGCAGGGACATTTGAATTTGGCAAAGCAAAGCAAAGTGAATAGAAACAATTCTCAGTCTTTAAATAGCCATTTTGGTCTGAGAGTAAGTGCTTTAGTTATACCACTTTATTTCATCATAACAATAATGCTGCACAAAAGATATAATTAAACACATTTAAAGATGAGGAAACTAGGGTTCAGAAATAGTGATATAACTTGGCCAAGATCATAGAGCCCTGAAATAACAGAAATTGAATGTGAACTCAGGTATGTCTGACTCCAGTTACTAAGTGCTTACTTTTCTTGCCCTTCAGGGTTTATGATCTAGTTAAAGAATTTTAAAAGTCATATACGTAAGTATAAAACAGCATAGTATAGTAAATGTCTTATGTGAAACACAAGTAAGAGCTATGGGAATTTGATGAATAAGGAGAGCACATCCAACTGAGATGTGAAGATACACAATTTGATCTGGCCTCTACAAATATAAGCTTTGATTGACAGGGGTTGGTGGACGGGAAAAATTTGTTTTGGGTTCAGAAAACAGTCTTCAAATGTGTTGAGATGGAATAAAAAATGTTATATTCTGTGGATAGCAAATGAAAAGAGTAATTTGAAGTAGAGAAGATTTTGAAATGTTAGAAAATATGCTTAAAAATCTGTATTGATTGGGGCATCTCTAAATGACAAGATACTTACTGAACAAGTCTCCTATAAAGAGTGTTCATAGGATTTGTCCCCCTGATGAAACTTTCAAAAAGTAGACCATGGACTATGGAGCTTCTTTTCACTAAAATTGTATTCACTAAAAAGTGTATTCACAGGAGATTCACTAAAAGTGTAGATCCTTAAGAATCACACTAAACCTTTTAAATACAAATCTCTGGAGGTGGAGTCTGGGTTGAGACTAAGGCAATGGAGTTGAACAAACACAGCTGTTAAGCATGTGGAGTCACAGGAGGTTTTACGACAGTAGAAGGATTGAAGAATGTCACTGTTACATGAAATTCTTGAAACTTTAAAAAAACAAAACAAAACAACCCCCCCTATAGACTTCTGATCATTTGAGAGAAGGCTGGAATAGTTACACAAAATGTTAGGTTCTAAACTGAGGAAGAGTTTCAATGGAGAACTGGAGAAAGGGGTCATAAAATTACATTAGAAGCCAAAATGCATTAGATTGGTAAATATAATAGGGTGACTGGGTGAGAACAAGGGACAATTTTTTTTATGTCTACAGATGCCATTACAGAGCCTTCATAAGCTCATGAAATCTAGGCTGTTTGGCAACAAGAGTGATTCTGGATCCCAGCCTCTGAGGCTGCTCAGGTGATGCCCACCCAAGTCCAATGTTCAGAAACTGGGTGGGGCTGAAGTACCAGGAAAAGACATCAGTGACTCAAGTTAGGAGGATTTGCAGAAGGCTGACAGCTTTAACAGCCCTTAACACAATTTTGATGTGACTGCATCATTTATAACATCAATCAAAGACAATTTATTTTAAAAAATAAGACTTTAAAGTGTTTACAGTGTTGTTTGGGAACCTCACTGCTTACAGTTATGACAGGACCACTGTGAACACTGTTGTGGCACAGAAACTGAATGTGTTTTCATTGAACTCTGTCCTCCAGGAGAAATAATTCAGGAGATTGGACCATCAACTTTGGAACTCTAGTAAATGAACCATATATGACACGAAAAGTCCAAAATATTATTTCTCATGAAAATTTTAGCATGGCTGGGATTCGTGATGATATTGCCCTTGTTCAGCTTGCTGAAGAAATCTCTTTCTCAAAGTACGTTCGTAGTATTTGTCTTCCTGAAGCCACACTGAAGCTCTCAGAAAATGACAGTGTTGTTGTCACAGGATGGGGAACACTGAGTATGAATGGTAAGTTTTTCCATAAAAATGTAATAGCTTCATGGGAATAATTATTTAAATGATTAATCAATCACTCACTCTCTCATGCAATTAACTGATCAGTATGCTGAAAAGGAAACCAAGTGCTGGAACCAAAAGCATGGCAGTGTCTTCGTTTTCTCAAATGTTTTTGGGAATGAGAATTGGAAAAAGTGGAAGTGTGAGAGGCAGCCAGCTGTAATAAATATCAGAAAGAGACCAATCTAGCCTGGGTCTGGCCTGGCTCCGGGTGACCAAAAAGAATCTGCTTTATTTTATAGATACTCTTTGTCTCAACAAAGTTAAGATCCCCTTAATATGCAGAATTTGTTGCCTTTAGGTCCCCTTCCAAATACACTTCAAGAGGCCTTTGTGAATATTGTCGACAACAAAGTTTGCAATGCTCCATATGCATTATCTAACTTGGTGACAGATAGAATGCTATGTGCTGGATATATGTCAGGAAAAGCTGATGCCTGTCAGGTATGTCTAGATATATCATCAAATCTTTTTCTCCCAAAGTACTCATTAAATGGCAGTTTTTATCTACGCAAAATATGTTTTTCTGTGTTAATGATTTCCACAGAGTACCACCTTACTTCATTACATGTAGTAAATATTGATAACCCCCATGTATACCAGACACCACACTAGATACTGGGGATGCAATGGTGAACACAATCCTTGCCCTCATGGAATTTTCAGTCTAGGAATCTATGCAAATAATAATACCTACAAGGTAATAAAATAGATTTGATGTATTTTCTGGTGCAGATCTACAACACTGCTTCTTCCTTATCTAGAGATGCAGCATGTAAACACATCATGAATTACTTACAGGCTTCATCGTGGAACAGCTGAGTCACTTTCTCCAGAGGCAAGGCTGGACTCATTTTAAAGTCAATTTCTAGGCTGTCCAATCCAACATTTGGCAGCTGTAGACAATATATTCTGCTTTGGAGTTTCTCTGTTTTTTTTTTAAAGTATACTTTTTTTGATTATGCTACTACACTTATCCCAATTTTCCCCCTTTTGCTCCCCTTCCTCCTGGTACCTTCCTTCTCTCCAGCAATCCTCCCATCTTAGTTCACACCTATGGGTTGTGTATGCAAGTTCGTTGGCTTTCCAACCTATACTATTCTTAACCTCTCCCTGTCTATTTTGTACAATTATGCTTCTTAATCCCTGCACCTTTTCCCCATTCTTCCCCTTCCCCCATCCCTCCCTGCTGATAATCCTCCAAGTGATCTCCATATCTGATTCCATTCCTCTTGTAATTGTTTGCTTAGTTTGTTTTTGTTTTTGCTTTTTCCCCTGGATTTTGAATAAGCCCAATAGTTTCAGAGTTTCTAAGCCTAAAGATGGAGGATTGTTTTCAGTGCTCAGGGGCTAATGATAACTCCAGTGGAGAGGTAAAAGGATATTCTTAGGATGAGAAATGGTTTCCTCTTTTTTTTTTCCCTAGAAAGACTCTGGTGGACCACTAGCTTACCCTGACTCTATAAAGATCTGGTACCTTGTTGGAATAGTAAGCTGGGGTGATGGATGTGCCAAAAAGAATAAGCCAGGTGTCTACACTCGAGTGACTGCTTATCGTGATTGGATTACCTCCAAGACTGGACTCTGAAGGGGAAGTAACTTTGGGGTTGAACACAAGGACAACTGCAGGGTATTTTTTTTTAAATATTTATTTATTTATTTTTAGAGAGGGAAGGGAGGGAGAAAGAGAGAGAGAAACATGAATGTGCAGTGGCTGGGGCCGTGGCCTGCAACGCTGGCATGTGCCCTGGCTGGAAATTGAACCTGCGACACTTTGGTTCATAGCCTGTGCTCAATCCACTGAGCTACACCAGCCAGGGCTAGGGTATTCTTATTTATTGTTTCAAAATCTTTTTCTTTTGATGATTGGTATACCAATAATTTTCTTATATAGAAAAACATGAAGGTATTTATCAATATTTTATTATATCTAAAACACTACCCATATTTTTACCTATTTAATAATAGTGAAAGCAGTAAGAAAAAAATAATGGCCAGAATATTTTTATTAACTGCCTAGCTCTAATTTATCTTACCTACCATTATATTCAGGGTAGACCTTAATTTCTTTTTCAGAATTAAAAAAATACTACACATTTTTTATAGTGTGAGAACATACTTGCTCCATCTACCAAATAAATTATTTTATTCTATAAATTATAATTGCATTTTTAAAAACTGGAATATGTAAGACATAGTACACATTCAATTTTTATTTAAATATGAGATATTTTGTGTACCTCATAGAATTATACAATCTTTCAATGAAGAAGGGATTTCAGAGGCTCAGCTGGACCACATCTCTCAATTTACAGACTGAGAAACTAAGGACTAGAGAGGAAAATTATTTGCTTAAAGTCAGCCTCCATCCTCTCTGATAAGACGCAATGCTCGTATGAATTTTCCCTCATTGAGTTTAGATCCAAAATTAATCAGGAATTTAAAAATAATTTTTAAGTCACAATTATTTATATATTTCTTCATGTCCTTTTTTTATCATCTGTTTGCCTTCACTTGCAGCAAAAATAATGTGAGTTTCTCAAGATCAAGGGACTGTGTAGAACCAATTCAGTAGCTCTACTCTCTGAAAATAATTTCCTAATATTAAAAAAGTAGTCCAAAATTTTAAAAGTTGCTAAAATAAAGTAAAACTACTTCTCACCTCAATTATTTGTGATATTAGTTTTTATTATATGGAATGACCCAAATGAGATGCATAATAATGTTAAGCCAATCCACACCAGGTATGATAAGACAGTTTTTTTCTCTCTCTTGACTTTCTCAGGCAGGGCACACATATTTTTTAAGCACTTAGCCTGTTCCAGAAACTGTCAAGGACAGACACAGTATCTTCTTTCAAGGAGGTTGCATTTAGCGGATAAAGATAGTAGATATAAGATAATTTTTATTGTTATAACTATTATGAGGGAAATAAAACTATGATAGAAAATAGTGTGACAGGTGAAAAGTACTTGAGACTGGGCAGTCTGAATTACTTCTCTAAGAGAGGAGCATTTGAGCTGGACCTAAATGATGAAAAAACAAAACATATAAAACATCTGAGAGAAGAGAAATCCAAAGGGAACAAGTATAAAGTCCTTGCAACACAAATAAGTGGGGTGGCTGTGTGGGCAGAAACAATTTTTCTGTCATCAGCTCTTCCTTCTCAGTCCCTTTTGCGGGATCTTCTACATCTGCATTTGAAATATTCTTATTTTCATTATTAGGATTTGTTCAGGGATTACAACTGGATTGGAAAAGCTCTATCTCTTTCTCTGGAAATTCCCAGATGCTTTGACTCTTCAGCAACATTAGGATTTATGTGAGTTTTAAATTATGAAACTTCTATGGCAACCCCTGGGCCAGTTTGCTTACTTTTCCAAGATTTTGCTGAATATTTCTGCCTTGAGATCTTTTGGAGTTAACAGATTTTGGTAGTTCAATCTGGAGGCAAGATGTACATGTGTCTGAATGAGGACTGTGGGGAACTCACACCTGTATATGTCTGGGTCTCCCAGTGCTTACCTGGACTCTCTTGTGATGTGCTGTATTCTTTGCTTTTAAATAAAAGCTTTATGTAAGCATATCTTATGGGATCTTATCAGTCCTTTCAAATATCTAGACTTATGAAATCTTTTCAAATTTAATATTTAAAATACAAGAGTGGTGTGCTGAAGCTGGCTTGCACCTTTGTACGAGCTGAATGTTGAAACTTCAGAGATTGTGTTAACCAGTTGTGAAACACACCAGAGTTGAAAATTAAGGATACTAAATACCTGAAGCTCATCATGTTCAAATTATTTTACTATACATTACTAGTTTTTATGGTCTTGAGGTTATTTCCATCTATTGTATTTATACAGTAAAGATAAATATAATAGAGTGCTCCTGGTCACATCTTCCCAAATATATGCTTGGCAATATCATGCGGGTAGCTCAAAATTGGTCATGGTATATTTACACCGTGGAAATTGGCCCATGTTAAGAATTAATTCCTACCCTCTAGCCCTGAAACCAACTTATAAAATACGAGCACAGCACTGAATGTAAATATTCCTAACTTATGGTTTTAAAAGAAATCTTCACCAAATGATGCACTGGTTCACAATTTATATTTCATGACATTGCAAACTAGCTTTTTGGTCACTGTACTGGATGTTTTTGTTAAATTCCTGAAGTACTGTCTGGTAGTGGCTGAGGTTAAGAAGGTTTGTTACTGGTTTTTAGTTTTCATAATTTCAATGCAAGCAGAAGTTTCAGAAGTTATTTTTGAAACATTTCACAGTGATGAGTTAAGGACATACCAGATTTGCAGTTTACAGTGATTAAAGAATTCCAGAAAAGATAATTATATGTTATTTTAATATGCTATATTCTCTATTATGTTTAATTTTGAAAATAAAATAATTATATCATATTTTCTTTTGTTCTTTCTTTAAAAATTAAATTATCTATGTTTTAAATTTCCACAGTTCCAATGGTCCTTATTTTACTTCTGTAACTCACTTCTTCTGCAGCACACTTCTTCTCCCTCTGCAACATGCTAAATAAACTTTCTCTTATAAAAAAATAAAAAAATAAAAATAAAATTGGTCATAGGTGACACTCATGGTTGATTAAACAAAACTTTATTTTTATTAAATATAAAAGCACATATTATACAAGAAATCCATAAAAAAACTACCTCTAGCTTTATAAGTCTACTTTAATGCTTTCTAAGTCAGGTTTATCTCATTTACAAAAATAAAAATTAACAATGAAGAAACCACTAGCCAGGGTAGTGAGACATCGTCCCCACACTTTGTTTCCCAGTCATTCGATGAAAGGTAAAGGATTAGAGGAACTTAGCCATTATCCAAGCAGGAATAAGGTTGTAGTAATTAAGGAGAACTAGTCCTGGAGCACCTCTCTCTTTTGCTTAAAATTCTGTTCCAACCCTGGTCACAACACCATTTGAGAATAAAACCAAAACTCTTTATTATGACTTGTTATTACTTCAGGCTGGACATACACCTGTCATTGTACTTTCTACAAGATGTGAAAATGACCTGCTTATGCATCTGAATATCTTACTAGACACTGAGCTTCTCAAGGGTTTTATTCCATCTATTTGTTCCTGGACTTGTTGCTACTTCAATGGAGGTTATTATTGTGTTCAACTGAATAAAACTAAAATGTACTATCAAGATCTGGCTTCTACATGGATCTCTCTTTTATCTCCCAACATGTGCTTGCATTTAACCTGTGATCCAACCACAGTGATGCAAGTGAGATTTCTGAAACATGCTATATTGGGCCTTTTCAAATACTGTGCTCCTTGTCTGCAATGTTCTCTAATAACTTTTTTTTTCTGGTAAACTCTTAGCATCTTTTAAAATTTAGCTCACACCTTTGTGAGAATTTATTCACTGTGTTTTCATGGATATTATGCTTATTGCCACCAAGCCATCATCTCATACTTGGAAGTTATATAAAGCCAACAAGTGCAACTTATTTTTAGCCAACATTAATTTGGCCCTGACTCTGGAAAAACAGTATTTTATTGCCAATTCACACTTATTTTTTACTCAGATACATATCAAGGATAAGCTGATATTTCACAAGTATATCTAATTTTTTTAAAGATTTTATTTATTTATTTTTAGAGAGGGAAGGGAGGGAGAAAGAGAGAGAGAGAGAAACATCAATGTGCGGTTGCTGGGGGTCATGGCCTGCAACCCAGGCATGTACCCTGACTGGGAATCGAACCTGCAACACTTTGGTTTGCAGCCTGCACTCAATCCACTGAGCTACACCAGCCAGGGCTAAATTTTTAAAATTATGAAACCAATGTATCAACACATTATCCTTGTGAAAAAAATTAACCCATTATAGATAAAGCTAAAGGTTTTTATATTGTCTAGTTACAGTTGTCCCATCTTTTTTCCCATTGTCCTCCTTTGCTCAGTCTCTGACTCCCCTTCCTCTGCTCCCACAGTCAGCCCCCACCCCTTTGTTGGTGCCCATGAGTCCTTTGTTCATGTTCATAGACTTGTCCCTCTTCCCTATTTCCCCCATTATCCCATTCCTCCCTCCCCCCTGGTAACTGTCAATTCATTTTTTTTCCATGTCTCTAGTTCTGTTTCTCTCATTTGTTTGTTTTGTTGATTAGGTTCCACTTATAGGTGAGATCACATGGTATTTGTCTTTCACTGTCTGTCTTATTTCACTTAGCATAACACTCTCCAGATCCATCCATGCTGTAGTGAAGGGTAGGAGGTCCTTCTTTTTTCTGCTGCATAGTATTCGTTTGTATAAATGTACTATAGTTTTTTGATCCACTCATTTACTGATGGGTAAGCCTAAGAAGGCTGTTTCAAGCACTTGACTAATGTAAATAATGCTGCTATAAACATTGGGGTGCACAGGTTCTTTTGAATTGGTGATTCAGGATTCTTACGGTATAATCCCAGCAGTGGGATCACTGGATTAAAAAGGCAGTTCCATTTTAGTGTTCTCCATAATGTTTTCCACAGTGGCTGCACCAGTCTGCATTCCCTCTAACAGTGCACAAGGGTTCTCTACAACCTTGCTAGCACTTGTTTGTTGATTTGTTAATGATGGCCATTCTGAGTGGTGTAAAGTGGTATCTCATTGTGGTTTTAATTTGCATCTGTCTGATAGATAGTGATGTTGAGCATTTTTTCATGTGTCTATGGGCCCTCTGTATGTCCTCTTTGGAGAAGTGTCTTTTCAGGTCCTCTGCCCATTTTTTAATTGAATTGTTGGTCTGGTGAGTCATGTGAGTTCTTTATATATTTTGGAGATCAGACCCTTGTCCCAGATATCACTGGCAGTTATGTTTTGCTACATGGTTGGTTCTCTTTTCATTTTGTTGATGTTTTCTTAAGCTGTGTAGAGCTTTTTAATTTGATGTAGACCCATTTGTTTATTCTTTCCTTTAAACCTCTTGCCCTATGGGATCTACTGGTGAAAATATTGCTGGGTGGGATATCTGAAATTCTGCCTATGTTCTCCTCTAGGACTTTTATGTTGTGGTGACTTATATTTAAGTCTTTTATTCATCTTGAGGGTGGTGGTCTAATTTCATTTTTTATATGTACTTGTCCAGATTTCCCAATGCCATTTGTTGGACTCCATTTTATGCTTTTGCCCTCTCTGTCAAATATTAATTGACCTGGGTTTATTTTGACATGTTGACATGGGTTTATTTCTGGGCTCTTTATTCTGTTCCATTGGGATGCCAGCCAGCACTAGACTATTTTGATTATAGCAATGGTTTAGTAATATAGTTTGATATCAGATATTGTGATCCCTCCTACTTTGTTCTTCTTTCTTAAAATTGCTGAGGCTATTCAGGGTTATTTGTGGTTCCATATAAATTTTTGAAATATTTGTTTTATATCTGTAAAATACTTGTTCTATTTTTGTGAAATATATCATTGGTATTTTGATAGGGATTGTGTTGAATCTATAGATTTCTTTGGGTAGTATAGACATTTTAATGTTACTAATTCTTCCAATCCATGAACACGGTATATGCTTCCATTTATTTGTGTCTTCCTTATTTTTTTTCTTAAGTGTTTTGTAGTTTTCTGAGTACAGGTCTTTTACCTCTTTGTTTAAGTTTATTCCTAAGTATTTTATTTTTCTTGTTGCTATAATAAATGGGATGTTTTTCTTAGTTTCTGTTTCTGATATTTCATTGTTAGTGTACAAAAATGTCTTAGATTTCTGAATGTTAGCTTTGTATCCCACCATTTTGACAAATTGAATTATTAGGTCAAGTCAGTTGCATTTTTATATGTCAAAAATAAACTGTCAGAAATAGAAATTAAGAAAACAATCCCATTCACAATTGCTTCAAAAAGAATAAGATACCTAGGAATAAACATAACCAAGGTTGTAAAAGATCTGTACTCAGAAAATTATAAGACACTAAAGAAAGAAATTAAAGAAGATACAAATAAGTGGGAGTTCATACTGTGTTCATGGATAGGAAGAATTAGCTTTTAAAAAATATCCATGCTACCCTGGCTAAAGAAAACAACATTAAAATGAAAAGAGAACCAACCATATGGGAAAACATATTTGCCAATGATACCTCGGACAAGGGTTTGAGGTCCAAAATATATAAAAAGCTCTCAGGAATCCACTCCAGGAAGACAAACAATCCAATTAAAAAAATGGGGAAAGGACTTGAACAGACACTTCTCAAAGGACGACATACAAAGTGTCAGGAGATGTATGAAAAGATGCTCAGCTTCACTAGGCATCAGAGAGTTGAAAATTAAATCCACCATGACATACCACTTCACACCAGTCAAATGGCCATTATAAACAAATCAACAAACAAGTGTTGGAGAGGTTGTGGAGAGAAAGGAACCCTAGTGCACTGTTGGTGGGAATGAAGACTGGTGTAGCCACTGTGGAAAACAGTATGGAATTTCCTCAGAAAACTAAAAATGGAATTGCCTTTTGACCCAGCAATTCCATTGCTGGGATTATATCCTAAGAATCCTGAAACACCAAGTCAAAAGAACCTATTCACCCCAATGTTCATAGCAGCACACTTTACAATAGCCCCAAGTGCTGCAAGCAATGTAAGTGTTCATCAGTAAATGAGTGGATCAAAAACCTATGGTACATTTACACAATGGAATATTATGCAGCAGAGAGAAAGAAGGAGCTCCTACTCTTTGCAACAGCATGGATGGAACTGGAGAGCATTATGCTAAGTGAAATAAGCCAGGCAGTGAGGGAAAAATACCATATGATCTCACCTTTAACTGGAACCTAATCAACAAAAGAAAAAGCCAAGCAAAATATAACCAGAGATATTGAAATTAAAAACAATCTAACAGTAACCAGAGGGGAGGTTGAAGGAATAATGGGGTGAAGGAACAACTATAAAGGACACATGGACAAAACCAAGGATGGGGTGGAGGCAAGGGAGGGAGGTGGGTTTGGCTGAGGTTTGGGGGAGTACTGGGGGAAAAATGCAGACAACTGTAATTGAACAACAATAAAATAATTAATTAAAAATTAAAAAGCAAAAAACAAAATATTCATGCTATCCAAAGTAGTCTATAGATTAAATGCAATTCCTATCAAGATACTAATGATATATTTCACATGAATAGAGCAAATATAAAAATTCATATGGAACTTCAAAAGGCCCCATAAAGCAACAGTGATCCTAAGAAAGATCAAAGTTGAAGTCGTTCTACTAATATGAAACTGTACTATAAGGCCATAGTAATCAAAACAGCATGGTACTGACATAAAAACAGACACATAGATAAAAGGAACAGAATAGAGAGCCCAGAAATAAACCCACACCTTT